TAAAGCCGCAGCGCCTCCTTTCCCCTCGCGGCCGTCGCCGCCAGTTCGCCGGGGAAAGGCGTCGGAGGGAGGAGAGTTCAGGGCGGGAGTCAGGACTTGGGGGTCTGATTCGCACCCTCGCTCGTGTATGTATCGTGCCCAAGCGCGGGCTAGACGCCGGGGAGGGGAACGGGCGGTGATTAAAAGGTGAACAAGACCCTGCCAAGAAGAGTTCACAGTCTAGCGCGCAAGGCTGGCGAGGTGAGCAGGAGCCTGTGCTCTCCAGGACGGAGGGGCTTTGGCTGGAGGGCCGAAGGGCTGTCACAGGCTACTGCCGCAGCACCTGCCACTCTAAGGCGTGGGTCAGGGCGCTTCTTTCCCGGGCTGTGATCGTGCTCTGTGGGTGGCCCTTTCCCCCAGCAGCCTGTGAGAGGGGCGATCTTGCTCTCACAATATCTATCCCATTTTAAACATAAAGAATGAGAGGCCGGAGAGATGAAAAGTCTTAGCCAAAAGTCTCATTTTACTTGTTTGCAGACTCCAGGACTAAGCTCACAGACCCGGGCCGCTGGCCAGCTTCCACTATGCTTGTCTGAGAGGACTAGACCGGACAGTGGACTTCCGGACAGGAATGATGTGCGAAGGAAGACTGCAGAGAGGCAGCTGGAGGAAGAGGCAGCCACCGCGCCCTTCTGCTGTGCACCAGCCTCACCCGGTCTGTCCCTGTCCCCAGAAGCAGGCCTGGATGTGGGCAGAGGGCTTGGAGAGGTGACCTCCAGATGTCCCTCTGCTTCTGTGACCCACTCATTCCCGCCTGAAGTCCAGGCACTGTGCCACCCTCTGGGCATCAGTAGTTGGCAGGGGCTGCAAACGAGGGGGATTCCAGGCTTTTGAAAAAAGGGTCAGAGTTGGAGGGGATTAGAGAGAGGGGTAATGAGGGGGTTTTGGCAGGAGAAAGCGCGAGCCAGGATCATAGGAGTCTGGGACTCACCCTCCTGACTATCCACCTACCTGTCCATCGCTGCGTGTCCACTCAGGCAAAAAATCTGTGCCAGGCCTGCGGTAGGCACAGAGGCTGTGGGTGAGACAAGAAGCACGCAGGTTTTGGGGCCAAGGTCATCTGACTTTGTGCTATCGTTTTCCAGCTATGTGATCTTGAGCGATTCATTCAGTCTGACTGAGCCTTGGCCTCCTCGTCTGGAGGACAGAAGCATTCAGGTCTACCTTCCAGGGCTAAATGATGAGAGGAAAAAAAGCATGGCCATGTTTGCCATGGTAGATTTAACAACTGGGGTAAATTTTGAAACATTACCGCTTATTTTGGTAGTCTGATAATACCCAAAAGATCTGTCTAGCCTGTGATCCCAGTACTTGGGAGGCTGAGGCAGGAGGATCGCTGCAAGTTCAAGGCCAGCCTGAAAACCACAGCAGGACCCTGTCTCAAAAAAAAAAAAATTCCATGCTGGAATCCTCAGGACCTGTGAATGTTACTTTATCTACAAAAAGGGCCTTTATAACAAAAAGTGGTGGGGGGGGGCTTTGAAGATGCGATTAAGGATCTTAAGATGGAGCAGTTATGCTGGATCATCTAGGTGGGCTCTAAAGGCAGGGAGGGCATTCTGGATGCAGGGCATGGGGGTCTTCAGGAAACTGCCCAAGTTTGGGATGGCAGGGGCATGGGTGTGTGAGGGTGGCATGACAGCTGCAGTGGGTGGCAGGGGCAAGAAAGCCAAGGGCCTTGGTCTCCACCCCAGAATAGAATCAACCCCCCCGCCCTGCACGGAGCTCCAGATCTCAGGACCCCAGACTGTCAGTGCTGGAAGTAAGCCTTCTGCTCCATCCGGTGTGGGCTTGCTATTTCACGTGTAGGGAAACTGAGGTCCACAGCAAAGTAGTTCATCCAGAGAAGAAACTAGAGCCAGATGGCCGCACTGTGTCCTCTCCTAATCCTGGGTGTCCCATGTCTGGGGGTGTCAGAGATGCTGCCTGGAGGTCCCTTTGCAATTTACTTCCAAAAAGCGCAGGCCCTGTGGTCTTCTGAACAAAGAGGGTGTTATTTGCATCTTATTTGCATCTTGCTAATTAGATGAGAGGCAGAGTCATTCCGCCCCTGCCCTTCCTGTTCCCCATCCCGTCTCTCTCACACTCCTCTTCCTCGTCTATTCCTTGACTGCAACCCAACTCCAGCCCATGCCTCACTTCCCAAGCCCCCTTCCCTGGCTCCCCCTACTCTGTGAGGCTTTGATCCTGGCTGGGGAAGTTGGCGGGCTTCAGCGTATGGAGTCTGGATGGAGAATCCTGGAGTAGGGTCATAGTGGAAAGGGATGACGGATGTTCCAGCTCCAAGTCTTCTCTGGGAACGGGGAGCAGTGAGCTCTGTCTCCCCGTGGCCCAGAAACCATCTGAATGGGGCCATGGCAGTGGGGAGGACGGTGCTCCTTGGGGATCCGGTGGGCAAGTGCCAGCTGCATGCTCCAGGCCTGCCCCAAGCCTCTTGGCTGGCAGCCACACTAACCCCCGAGGGCCTGGCTACTTCTCTGAGAGAGGAAGACTCTTGCAGAAGGCCTGAGAGCGTCCCTGGCCTGGCAGTGCAGGGTCAGATCAAGTCACTATGTGAGTTACTAAGGAGCCTCCAAGAGAGGTACTGCGCTGTGGCAGGCCAGGTACAAAGCATGACCTCAGGTGCTCCCTGCTCCACCCCCACAGCTGACTCAAAGCAGCGGCCAGGAACTGGGAAATTAGGATCCCTGGAAAACCCCAGGCCACAGTGCAGGCTAGCGATGTGCAGACACTGAGCTACGCAGGACAGTGGCTCGGAGGCGGGAAGCAAGTCTGCCTGTGTGAGACTGGTTCCTCTCGTGCAGAGGTGATCTGTGAGCTTACGTGGACGCGTGATACCCAGGTCTCAGCTCGCGCCCAACCCCGCCCCGACGTGTGCACACAGCCACACATGCCTGACGCGTATGTTGTGCAGGAGTGTCTTCGTGGAATTCCACCTTCTCTCTCCCCGTTTCCAGGCACAATGGGAACTGAAGGTCCTGTTCCACCACCCCCAGCCCTGCGCCCCTGCCGGTGACAGCAGGCAGTGAGTGGGTCCCTCCTTGGTCCTGAGTGAGGGGCCCCGGCTCCCTGCTGCTCTGGATAACCCCGGCTTGCACCGGTCCCTGTGTCCTGTATCTCAGGCCAGCTCCCCATCTAGTGTCCAAACCAAAGGGAGCAGTGAGGGGGGACGCAGGGCGATGCTATGAGTGTGGGAGGAAGAAGGGGAATCAGATACCATTCCGTTTTGCCTGGGTCCCTTCGGAGCACTGCTGCTCATTTAAAATTCCGATTTAAAGCCGAGAGCGGCTCTTTAAATTTCCACATTAGCATGCCGCCCTGATGCCAGGCCAAGATGTTGGGATGCATTTGGCAGGAACGCCTCCAACAGCGGCAAGCAGCAGCAGTTGCCAGCAATAAAACAACACATGAATAAAAGAAGGCCGCTTGGCACCAGCAGCGGCCCAGGTAGCTGGGTAAGCCCAGGAGGGGCTCTCTTGTGCGGGGGCTTGGAGGTGCGAAGGCCTGTGCGAGTGCCAGCAGGACCACAGGCCTCTGTGGCTTTCTGGGCCCGTACCCCATCCATGCCTGCAGTGGAATGTGGGGTGAAGGCCCAGGCAAGATCTGGGTTTCTCCCTTGTGCCCATTTCTCCCCCTCCCTCCAGGGTTATCTTCTTGGAAGGGACAGATGTTGCCTTTGATGAGGACACAGGACTTGGCCTGCAGCCTGAGTCCTCCTGTGTTAGCGGGGGCCCGGAGAACAGGTGGGGTCGGAGAGAGAAACATTCCCTAGAACCGCTCTGGATTCGCGACCCCAGACACCAGGGCGCAAGGGTACCGTCCGGGAAAGGAGGCCAGGCGAGAGGCTGCCTGAGGACAGAATTGGCGCTGAGCTGCTGACAACTGCCTGTGTGCCAGTACCAGTGTGGAGTGGGGCAAGGCCAGAGAGAGCGAGGGGCGGCCGGCCTGGCCTGACTTTAATTCCCTTCGGACTTGGAGATGTAGTTTGAGGTCAGACAGCAAGGGCAACAAAGGAGTCAGCCAAAGCTCTGGGCCGGAGGCTGGACACCTCCTAGAGGCCACCTTGTGCACCGGGGCTGCCATCCCTGGATTTTGTCTTCTCTGCTCTGGCCACCTGGCGGGGCTCAGCGCTCACCTCCTAGGGCATTTCAAAGAGCAAGCAGCCCATCCTGCTTTGGCTAAACTGACTGCCCTTCCTACTGGGTTGAACCAGCTCCTTTTCAAAGCCTAGGGAAAGAGGACAGCAGCAGACAGAGGGGTGGCAGCAGATGGTCTCTGCAGTCTTGGCTGAGGCAGAAAAGAGGGGTTTTCTTTAAAGCACCCTTCTCTGATGGAGCCTCCTCCCTTCCAGCTCGTGTGAGTGGTTCGGGCCTCCGCATCCTCCAGTCCCCACGGGAGCTGGAGAGCAGGCAGGCAGGGCTCAGCTCTGCAGGACAGACCCCGAGTCCCTGAAGGAGGGTTGGTCCAGTCTGATGGTTTTCTCCAGGGACAGTGGGATGGCCGGACCCCCACAGTACCCTCTTCCACAGAGGGGCTAAGAAGCTGAGTTTAGGCTGTAGAGATATCCCTTCACTATTCATTCATTGATTCAACAAATATTTACCCAAACGCTGATTTACAGGAGGCCCACGGTGGGGGCAGGCAGATGTGGTCACTGTGCTCATGGACGTTTCCATCCACGCCCACTGGGACCATCATTCAAATGACTGCACAGCAAGTGGGAAGTCACTGCACCAAGGGGGAAGGACGCGGAGGGGCATGGGAGCACTGGCCGGGGAGGCACTTGCAGAGAGACAGAGCAGGCGCAGCCTCAGGGCAGGAGGAGAACTGGCAGAGAAAGCACAGAGGCCGAGGAGGGGCGGCCAGAGAAGCCTTTCACCCTGAGCCCTCACTTGCTGGTTGGGAGTCAAGGGTGGAAAGGCACAGCCCCAGCACTGCGCCAGCTCACAGTAAGGTTAGCTCTCTCTCCCTTCTCTGTGCTGAGCCTCCCTCCGGGGACCCAGATTTCTGGAGCAAAGGAGCTGCCCAGGCTTAGTCTCCTCTGTCCACTCAGGGCCATTGGTCTCCAGGGAAAGGCCCAGCCTCCCCACATCTGCCCCATCACCTGCCCCCCCCAACTACTTCCTCCTGCACCGGCCTGAGTGGTGAAGAGTCATCGTCCTCAGCAGCTCCCAGGGGTGCCCGGGGTGAATCTGAGTGTCTTAGGAGGGGAGAGGGAGCGGTGGGGAGCTGGGGAGGGGGCTGCCCGCCCAAGGCGGCGTAGAGCCCAGCGCCTTTTCCATTGCAGACACCCCATCTGTCTCCCACAGAAGGCTCGGATTGGAAGGGGTTCGGAGAAGGGGGGTACAGTGGGTGAAATTGTGCGTCTGTGAGCTAACACGTCAGCGGAGAGGGTGCTGGCCAGGGAAGTAGCAGGTCGGGGATGGTGGTGTCAGCCTGGCTGCTGTGTTGGCTGCTGGGGGCCAAAGTGAGATTGGGCCTGGAGGTAGAGGATGACAGGGACACCACCATACGGCTGTCCTGAGATGGCTTCATGTTTGCTTTGGATTTATGACTCCCAGCCCCTCTGGTCAGGGGCAAAGACTCAGACCTACTGCCAAGACGGGAGAGTTGTAGGAGCCCAAGCCCGGGGTCAGGCTGGATGCATGACCCCTTCCTTGCCCCAGCTGTCAACCTTAAAATGTTGGAGTGTAATTTGAATTTTTCAGGGTGTTTTCATTCACATCTTACTTTATATTTTTTCTTTTCTTTCTTTTTTGGTACCGTGGATCAAACTCGGGTCCTTTGCACTTGCGAGGCAGGCGGCGGATCCACTGAGCTAGATCCCTGGCCCCACATCTTACTTTAATACAGCCTGCAAAACTCCAGCAAGGTAAACCTTATTGCTATACTTGGTCTACAAATTCGGCAAGAAGGGGTTTAAAAGGTCAAGCAGGTAAGAATCCACAGCACAGGAGAGTAAGGAGAGAGGCGCCCAAACCCAGGGCTGTGCCTCTACTCCGGAGCCAGGCTACTTTAGGCCTCCCTTGCCCCTCCTTTTTTGTCAGATCAGTTGGGGAGCTTTTTGGTCTTGAGTTCGGAATTCCTTCCTAGTGTGCACAATCTTTGGGAGATACCCAGGCCTTGGGGGCCCTACTTCGCTACAGCGCCCCCTCCTGGTTACCAACCTTCACACACTAGGAAACTGAAATCGATGGGCGCTCACCCGGGGAACTATGGGAGGACCGGTACCGGAAATGGTCGGGAAGCAGCGCCCGGCTCCACTCCAGGTCCTGGAGCTGACCCCAGGAATACCTGTGGGTGCCTCCGCGTTCTAAGAACGTTCTCCCTCTCTACCTTAGGAGAGAGTACGACCCCTCAGCTTCCCTGACCCCGCACCCACTCCACCCTTCTCCCACGCTTCTTGTGGAGAAGTCCTCCCCCAGACGTCACCCCTTCCTGCGGGCTGGAGCTTAATCCCTCTAGGAGCCCTGTACAGCAGGTGCCAGGGGGGCCCAAAACAGGGCTTCAGTTATTAAATATAAATAGACAGGGGAGGGGAACTGAATATAGAGACAGATATTATATCAGTCCCTGCGAATTATTAGGAAGAAGGCACTAGCGGTTGCTAAGCAACAGGTCTCCACAGGGGAAGAGGCACCAGAGGAAAAAGCTTCCTTTGACTGAATGTTGGGGTGGAAGAGCCGCAAGGGTTGGGGTCAAAGGGCTCCGGACTGGAGGGCGGGAGGGCTGGATTGTTCTCCAAGCCCAGCCCCTTCCCTAGGCCCTAAGCAGGCTCCGCCCGCCCGCACAACCTTCAGGATTGGTGGAAGGAGGGAGGCCTCAGACAACGCCTCCCTTCTTGCCTGGAGAAGCAAACCTGGTTTCCATAGCAACGCAGAAACAATCTTGGCCTCTTTCGGTTTAGGGCTTCTTTGTGACCCCTCTCGGGGCACCCAGTCTTAGAGACTCCTTTCTCAGGCCCCACTTCTGATTGGGGCTGAGGGCTCTTAGGAAGGTGAGAGGCGGAGGCGCCACAGAACCACTCTCACCGGCTTAGTGATCTATTGCACTCGGAAGGGGGAAGATGACTTTCAGGGCAAAGGGCTTCCAGGCGTCCTCCGACCTCTGCCCCTAAGGGCTGCAGAGCGCTGCGCCGAACGAACCGCGGTGTCCGCTGTTAGCCGGGCCCAGGCTCGCTCTCGCTCTCTGAAGGGCGAGAAGAGGTCGGGAGGGAGACAGGCTCCTTTGTGCCCCTTGACCACTCGGGCCCCAGCCTGCTCGACCCAAGTCCACCGGCATCGAGGCCCGGGAATGGAGATATAGAACATTAACGTATGTCAAGTATAAGTGAGTGGCACCGAGGGGCATAATCTGTTTTTCTAATATGACCACAAGCAGAGTGTTAGAAGAATTAGGCCGACAGCTGCTGGTTTTCCCCCTTCTTCTCCCCCTCCCGCGCCCGCTCCCTTCCTCCTCGCTCGCACACACCAATGGCAGCCGAGCCCTGCGCCGATTTCTCTTAATCTTCCTCCTCCATCCCGCGCTCTTTCCGCAGGCGGTGCTGCGAAGCCGGCAGAGCCCGCGTCACACCTTACTGCTCCCCGAGATTGCTCCACAGAGAGCTCAAGGAGATGGCAATTCGGCGCTGACGCCGGCTGGCAGCAGTTGGGAGAGGGGAAGGAGAGGGGAGAGGGAGGAGGGGAGGGGGAAAAAGTTGGCACGGATACCAAGTTTTTCCCTAGAGAGATGGCTGGCGGGGTGGGGGCAGCGAGGGAAGAGAGAAAATGACAGAGAAAAGGAAACACGGAAGGAGGGGGAGCGAAGGGAGAGAGGGCGAGAACGGGATGAAGTTCTCGCAGACATCCACACGTGGGCCTGCCTGGCTCCCCGGACTCCTGACCTCCAAGATCACGCCACCCACACCCGCTCCCTCCGCGCGCACGCGCACGCGCGCACACACACACACACACACACACACTCACACTCACTCCAGTCAACCTGGAAGCCAAGCCGTGTTGTGTGTTCGTGCGAGTGTGTGTACGCCTGTATGTTGTCTGTTTTGGATCGCAGTAGAATGCAGTATGTAAATGAGATGGTTATTACCGCAATGTTCATCAAGCTGAGCCGAGAAGACATTAATAGCCTGATGAATATGCATGTGAATTTGTTAATTAAGTTAATTATTCTGCTGAAAATGCATTCGTCTTCCAAGGACATTTTCCCAATGATTTTTACATGCTCTAGCCATTAGTCATGCTATATTTTATCAGGGAAATGAGTTTGCTTAAGTTGTAAAAAAAAAAAAGAAAAGAAAAAAGAAAAAGAAGAAAGAAAGAAAAGATGGGAGAGGAAGGAGAAAAAATGAGAGGGGAAAATGTGCTGAAGTTGAGAGGGGAAAGCATCTAAGGCTGGCCTCAAGTTGAGGCCCAGCTGGGCTTTTGAAGCCTGCCCTCGATTTTTATGGGTACCTCACTCTACAATTTTTTGCCCTTTTTTTGATGACAAACTTTTTTTTTCCAGTGCCAAATTTCCAACACATTAATTAATTGTTGTAGCCAATTAACTGTAGTTGTGCAAATGAGTTTAGCACTAATTACCATGCAGTGCCTGTAATCACATAAAAAACTTGCTGAGAGAGAGAGAGGAGAGAAAGGAAGAAGGGGAAGAGATGGTGCCAGGAGAGGAGAGGACCTGGACTAGAGGGGCAGCCAAGGAGAGAGAACAGGAGGGGTCCTCCGACCTCCCAGTCAGGAACTGCCCTGGCTCAGAGGAAAGGGCATCTTCCCTGGTAGCTCAGGACTTCTGAGAAATCTGTGTGCATGGGGAGGAGGAAGAACCAGCAGAGTGGTCTCCCTTTGTCAGGAACTTCCAGCCCAGACAAAGGCTCAGAGTGGATGGCTCAGTGTCCTCAGTGTCAGGTGACCCCTCTGATCCCCGCCTAGCCCAGCCAGGGTGTCCAACAGGCTGGAATTTCTGGGTAGAGACAGGGGTGCTGCTGGGGGAGAGGCTGTTCCCCATGAGCCAAAATAAGTAGAGTAACAGGAAATCTCGGCCTGGTTCTGGCCCCATAAGTAAGTGAGGAAAAGTGTTATGGCCAGACAGCCGCTAGAATAGGCCTAGGGAGCAATGGTATTGTTGACTACAAAGAAGCCATCAGTGATGCAACCCAGGAATCTCAGCACCCTGGGAGGCTGAGGCAGGAGGCTTAGGAGTTTGAGCTCAGCTTGGTCAACTTAGTGATGTAGTGAGACTTTGTCTCCAAGTAAAAAATAAAAAAAGTGCTGGGGATGTAACTCAGTGTGAAGGCCCTGCTTCAACCTCCAGTACTGGAAAAAATAAATACATTTTTAAAAGTTTGAAAGGGCTCCCTCCAGCAGGAAGTGGGAGGTGGCCAGACACAGCTCCCAGGAGAGGCTGAACATCCTCTGTACACTGGCATCTCTGCCATCTGTCATATGGGCAACGCAAGGTCTTCACCTGTCAGCTTCACCAGTGCCCAGACACTGAGGAATGGCACCAGCTGACTTCTCCAGCTCCTTGAGAATGCACTGCCAGCCGTGGGTTAGGGCAGCGGGAGTGAGGGCTGGCATTTTGTTTCTGCTCTGAGCCTGAGCCTGAGCTGGGGGTATGAATGGAGGTGCCAGCCTCACCAGAGCACTCCTTTAGGAGAGACAGCTCTCACGGGCCTCAGTCAGGAGAACCTCGATCCCTGGCCTCTGACGGAGATCCACCTATCCTGCCCACGGTGCTCTGCCCGAGGGCCCATGCCACTGAGCCCCAGCTCTGAGACCCTGAAGCAAAGCTGCCTGAGGACCGAGGTGACCCGGGGTGTTCCCATCAGCCCCATCCCACGCTCTTCCAAGTGCCCAAGCCCTCCAGCGGGAAAAGCCCTGTCATCTGAGGGCCACGCACTGCTGTGCCACTTGACAGTATGCGATCCCGGGAAAAGGCCCACTCTCAGCCTCAATTTCCCTCATCTACAAAATGGAGAGAATAGGAGCATCTGTTAAGAAGCTGACTTAGGGGCCGGGGATTTAGCTCGGCGGTTTGGTGGCCTGCCTTACAAGTGCAAGGACCAGAGTTCAATCCCCGGTACCAAAAAAAAAAAAAAAAAAGAAGCTGACTTAGTCACTTTCTTCGTGGCTGACCCCGTAACTGAAAGGGAAAAGAGGTTTCTTTTGGCTTCCATTTTAGAAGTTTCAATCAAACAGCAAAGCAGAAGGGTCTGGGAGGAGGACAGCTGCTCAGTGGTGCAGGAGGTGAGGGAGGAGCCAGGCTGGGAGACACGCCCTTCCGGCCCCGCCCCCAGACCCACCTCCTAAGATCAAGGCAGCCACATGACCCTATCTCCCAGGCCCCTTCAAAAGACTGCCCATGAGCACGCGAGGCTTTGGTGGGTATCTAGGTAGAAACCAGAATGGGTTAATAATTGCGACTACAAAACATTCAGCAAACTAAGTAAAATGGGCAATTTCATTCATTGCTAGTACTAGAGAGCAAAGTGAGAGAACTTTTGAAGATAGATTATTTGGTAACGTTAAAAATATGTTAGCTGGGCGTGGTGGCGCATGCCTGTAATCCCAGCACTCGGGAGGCTGAGGCAGGAGGATCGCTGTGAGTTCAAGACCAGCCTGGGCTACATAGTGAGATCCAGGTCAGTCTCAACTACATAGTGAGACCCTGTCTCAAAAAAACCAAAAAAAAAAAAAAAAAAAATTATGTTCCCGCCTGCCTCGCAAGCTCAAGGTTCCCAGTTCGATCCCCAGTATCCCGCACCCCCCCAAATATGTTCATACAAAAATTTATACGTGACTGTTATTAACAACTTTATTTGTAATAGCTAAAAACTGGAATCAGCCCAGATGTCCTTCGACAGGTGACTGTTTAAAGAAACTGTGGTGTATCTATACCAGGAGATAAATGAAAGCAATGAACTGTTGATACACATGAAAACTCGACTGATCTCCTGGGAACTGTGCTGTGTGAAAGAAAACAGCCAATCCTACAAGGTTACATGTTGCATGTTTCAATTCTTGAAGTGACAACATTTAGGAGAGGAGGACAGAGCAGCGGTGCAAAGTGTTAAGGAGGGAGTAGAGAGGTAGGTGTGATCATAAAAATAAAACGTGAGGAATCTTTGTGGTGTGGGGACTATAGCGGTGGATATGCAAACTTAACACAGGTAACAAAACAGCTTAGGACTTAAGATGCACACAAGCACAGGCAAGAACAGGAGACATATTTACAAGGCTGGTAGACGGTAGCAATGTCAATATGCCTGCTGTGATATTGTAATACAGTTTTGTGAAACATTACTGTTCAGTGAAGGTGGGAAAGGTGTACACGGGATCACTGTAATATTTCTTAACAGCAGCATGTGAATCTACACTTATCTCATTTTCTTAATAAAAGCTATGACAGATTATTAATGTCTCTGCTGGGTATAGGGGAGAAGGACCTGTCCGTGCATTCCCATTGTAGAATTCCAAAGAGGAAGATTAATAAATATTATTCTCATTAGGGTACATCAATATAATGATCATAACCATGGGAGGGTGAGGATTTGTATCTGTTGACCCAGTAATTCCACCTTCTGGAATTTATTATTAACAATGCACAAGGCCAAGCAGAATGCACACTTTACAGTCTCAGCTCTTCAGGAGGCTGAGGCAGGAATATTCAAAATTTGAGGCCAGCCTAGGCAACTTAGCAAGACCTTGTCTAAATAAAGAAGTAGAATTTAAAAACAGGTTGGGAATATAGCTTAGTGCTAGGGCACTTGTCTAGTATGTGCAAGGTCCTGAGTTCAATCCCCAGTACCACACACACACACACACACACACACACATATACAGGAAAAAAAAAGGGAAGAAGTTTTATGTGTTTGGATATTCACTGCCATATTATTTATAGCAGTGAAAATATGCAAGTGAATAAAAATAGGAGATGAGACATAAATCAGTGTATGTGGGTAATAAAATACTCTATACAGAGTTTAAACACACTAAAAAAAATACACCCAGAGCCAGGCATGGTGTGCAATCTGTAATCCCTGAACTGGGATGGCTGAGGCAGGAGGATCTCTATGAGTTCAAGGCTAGCTTAGGCTACACAGTGAGTTCAAGGCTGGCCTGCACTACATAGGAAGACCCTGTCTCAAAAAACCTCCAAAACCAAACCAAACAAACCAACACAAAATCAACCCAACAACAACAACAACAAAAAGCAAAAATACCCAGTACAATGCTGGTACATAGCAGACACCCAATAAATGGAGTTCTCTTTTCTTTCCTGGATTGCTCTGGACATCAAAAGAGCTAATGTAGGTCAATGTACTTGGCAAACTATAAAGTGCCTGGAGAAAGCTAGTTGTTGCTGTTCTGCTCAGGGCTACCAGGCACAACAGTGGCTTAGAGGTGGCAGGGGACCGTGGCTTCTTTCCTGGCTAGGGAGGCATGGGAATGGGGGAACTGATTCCTTGGGGAATCTGGGTACTTCCTAGGCACTGTCACTCTAGTCCATGTTATGAAGAAAATCACGAAGTTCTCCCAGCAAGTGTGGGTGTCCTGGAGTTTGTGGAACACGTGGGCCCTGCTGGCTCCACAGTGACGGTGCTCTGCTGCACTGTCAGGCACTGTCCTGGGTGCTTTACACGTGTGCGTCCATGGATTCTCACAACCACCCAAGGGGAGCTGTTCACCTGCACATCACAGATAAGGATGCTCGACTCAAAGGGGCCAAGTGACTTACCAAGGTAGCTGGAGAGCGGCAGGGCTGACACTGGAACCTGCTCTCTGCCGTGTTAATCTGTGATCTAAGCACCACAGGTATCATATTTTGATGGCATGGGGAGGTCTGAGCACCCTGCATGTTCTCCCAGCACTCCTGTACGTGTAGGCACAGACTCCAACTCCGCTCAGGCAGAGGACAGACCTCTGGAGAGAAGCAGGCCCACTCCGAAGTCTTTCATCGTGGGAGGAAGTTTTCTCATGTGTTTAACCTCCATCTTCTCGGCTCATGTCCAATCCCTTTACTCTCTGGTGGACGGGGAGTGGATGACCCGGTTCCTCCTGACTCCTCCATGAAAGCTTCCAGGGACTTCTGCTTCCCCAGCTCTGCAGAGGACATGATGAGGATGCTTCAGTCTCTTCGATCTCTGCCCCAAGGCACCAAACCAAAAGACACACAGGAGAAAAGGAGCAGGAGGACAAGCAGACCAAGGCCAGCTTGCAGATGAGCCCGGGAGTCTCTCGGGACCTTAGAGCTGTCTCAGACTCAGGTTAAAGGTGGGCTTCCAGTCTGACATCTGCCCAGCTGTGAAGGTCTGGCCAGCATCTCCCAGGCCTGAGCCTCTTGATGTGACATCTCCATAGCTACCTCTTTCAGACTGGAAAGAGGAGCTAAGGATTCTGCCACTTGGCCTTTCACTTCCATTTCCGTGCTTCCTGGCTGCATTTGCTCTGGTTCAGCCATTGCAGCTGGGGCTTAAGGATGCCCGGGGAAGAGAAGGTCTTGTCAGGAGGATGTCAGGATCCCGAGGCTAGGGCCAAATGAACTCTTCCAGGATCTCAAGAGCAGGTCAAGAGCTCTTTTGCCTCCTCTCTTCTTGTGAGGACCAGAAGGACAACTGGGGCCTGAGCCTGGGCACACAGGGTGGAGGGGAACGTGTCATTCCTCCCTCCCTCTCCCACACACTGCTCAACCCTGCTGGGGCCCAACTATGCCCACCGCCCATCCTGGCCTCCTGGCCCATCTGCCCGATGGACAGGAGAGGGTTAAAGGCATGGCGTGGGCAAGCTATAAATTTCCCATCGGTGTAGGGAGAGCAGGATTGTCGGCAGGGAGGGGGTTGGGATGGGGGGAGGGGGAGCTGGGAAAAAGCCAGGAGGTTGTCTCTAGGTAACAATAAACACTGCAAGCAAGGAGCAGCTGTTACACTTACTCTCTCTGCATCACAATGCTGAAATAACACTAATAAACCAGTGTGCCCAATGCACAGGCACACGTGCATTCAGGGCTGGGGCCACAGGGCACACCTAGGGCCACCCTCTGCTCCGAGGCAGGGCCCTGATGCCATGCACACACCAGTCTGGGCCTGGGCGTATGTGCTGGCCAGGATGAGGAGAGATGAGTCTTTCCCAGTACATGGGCATCCTCAGGGTCAGGGGCAGTGGAGTCTGGGGTCCTGGGTTCAGATCCTGGGGGCAGTCTCTGGTGCAAAGGACTCAAAAGCAGGATGCTCTAAGCAGAGAGCTGGGAAGAGCTGAAGAAAGTGTGAGAGAAAAGTGCAGGGAACAGACGTGTACTTACTGTGTCCTCTCATCTGCAGGGACGAGGTGGCCAGGAGATGAGTCTGATAACGTGGGGAAAGAATACGTGGAGAGAGACAGGGGACTGAGGAGGAGGCTCAAGAGTACGTGGCAGAGAGGAGCGATTCTTACCTTGCTCCTGGGGCTCCACGTCCCACACCTGCCCACGTCCCGCCTGGTGCACCCAGGCCCTCCACAGTGTGGCTTTCACACCGAGTGCAGGGATTTGTGCTGGCTGAGTCAGGGCCGAGATCTGTCACGGGCTCCTTAGGCTTCTGGTGCTGCCGCAGAGGAGGGGAGTGCGCGGGCCGGCCCCGCCGCCCTGGGTGAAGTGGGGCGGTCTCTTTTCCAACCAGAGCTCTCTGGATCATCAGGGTCAGCTGAGTGTCGGGCCCCTCACCCCAGCTGCAGGAGGAGCTGCTGGTGATGGAAAGGACAGAAATGGGCAAATGGGAATGCAGGCTCTGCCACAGTCCTTCCTCTTAACCCGTCCTCCTGAGCCACAGATTGGGATCTTTATTTCAAGTGCCCAGGCACCCTGGGATTACAGTCAGGGTCATGAGTGTTTCTCCCGACCCACCTGGTACGACTTCCAGCACAGTCTCCTGTCACCCCTGATCCAGAGAGGATGGAGAAGGTGCACTCGGCCACCTGGACTGTGAACGGGGAAGGCATCAGCACTTTTGAAGACCTGTGGTCTCCTGCACCGTTCCCAGTTTATCCAGGCCTTCCAGCCAGCCCATGCCCCTCGCTGCTCCTCTCTGGTCCCAGGTGCATGTTCTAGGGTGCCGAGTACTGAGAGGAGGTGAGAATCTGTCCAGGTTCTGGTCTTGTTGTTGGGTTTAAAAACATAGCCGGGTGTGGTGGCACATGCCTGTAATCCCAGCACTCGGGAGGCTGAGGCAGGAGGATCGCTGTGAGCTGGAGACCAGCCTGGGCTACACAGTGAGTTCCAGGTCAGTCTCAACTACGTAGTGAAACCCTGTATCCCCCCACCAAGAAACATTATATATAAATATATAAAATTTCTAAAAAGTTAGTGTGAGCTGGCTACCCAGGGATTTAGGTGGAGTGAGGGCAGGGAGGAGTAGCTGTCTCCTCTCCTGGAAGGGGCAGAGGACGGGGCTGCTCCAGCACACACGCAGCCCTCGCGGACAGTGGACAAGGACGACGGGCCCCTTCTGGCATCTCCTCGGGAAGCGTCTTGCTGGGGATGGTTATCCTCTCCCGTGCCAGCCCCTTTCACAGCAGGGGCCTGTCTGACGCAGACCTCAGAGTGGGGACAACTGGGGCAAAGCCAGCTCTAACAGGCCGGCTCCTCCCCTCTGGCTTTCATGAGCCACCCCACTGCGGGTCACCAGAACCCTGGGCTCCCCCACGTTAGCAGTCTCCCCTCCCTACTCTGTCAGCCCAGAAAACAGGAACCTCGGGGGCCCAGGGCCATCCCTTTCCTATGGGGTCGCTCCCCTGCATCCCTTGGAATCCACCACAGACACAGACCCGGGATACAGAGCGTGAGCGTTCCCAGCATGTGCTGTGCTGGGGCAGGGAGCCGGCTGCCTGCACACGGAACGGGACTGCCAGCCAGGAGAGCTGGCACTCGGGCTCAGCTTGCTGGCATGAATTGGGGAGCGGGAGAGGGTGGGGTTCGGCGGCTGTTTCGGGCGGGCCAGTTTCTTCTCCTTGGCCCCTCCCCTTGGCTGCTGATGGGCACCACGCGCTGCCACCTCCCACCCTTCACTCCTTCCTTTCCCCGCACTGGGAGCTGCGGAGAGGGGACCCGCATGTGTCCTCCAGGTATCAAAGTGACAGGCTTGGTTTCTGCAGTTCTCCCAAGCGGAGGAAAGGGAGGCAGAGGCTGGGTTCCGTGGAAGGGAAGCTACGCCAAGTCCATGCCGGGCACCTTGACCTGTTCCTCTCCTCCAGAAGGCAGGGAATTCTGACACTGCCCCGCTGCCTCCCACACATCTCATCCACCCTCTTGCCTCCAACAGCTCCAGGTTTCTCCTGGCTCAGCCTGCAGGGTGCAGAGACCCCGGAGTGTGAAGGAGGGAGGAGGCTGTACCTTAGGGAAACACCCAGGAGCTGGGGTGAGGGCGTCAGGATCTCCCAGCCCCTCCAATACGCTGCAGTAGGGAGGGGAGAAGGGTGACACGGCGAGAGGCGGGAGCCTCCACGGTGTGCTCTTTTTCACTGCTCTGGGTTCCAGGTAGAAAGAGCAGCTTGGAGACAGCTGCCACTAATAAACCCCCAAGTGACACTCACGGTGAACGCCCCGCCCAGAGCGCTAGTGTGTCACCCCTGGCTTCTCCGAACTTGCAGGCTTCCTCATTACCCCTGGCAGCCGACCATTCCTTTCCAGTCCCAAGCCCCTCACAGAGGGCAGCGGTCCGAGGAGGGATCTCCCCCGCCTGTCCTCAGGCACACAAGGGCCTTCTCACCCGCTGGGCTCTGGAGCAGACTCGGGGCGTCTCAGGGAAGGGCAGCGTGCGGCTGGGCACTGCACAGACAGATCCCACTCCTCCCCAGGGTCTGGGCTATGAAATGGGCCCCTAGGACAGAGGGGACCGTTCTGGGGGTGGGAGGAGGGTGTGGCACCCTGGAGTGTGACAGTTTCCACTGGCCGCCTCCAAGCCTGTGACTGCTTTTGCTCCTACCCCAGCTCTGCCCCATGAAGCATGGAAAAGTCCGCAGTGCTGAGGAAAGAGGAGGGTGCCAAGAAAGACCGCCTATGGCCGGGGGACGGCTCCGGTCACCTCACCCTTCCTTCCCCAAGCAGGTGAACCGCACAGGAGCAAAGGGGTGGGGGCAGTGGCGGCCCAGAGCTGTCTCTCTGTCTAGGCACCAGAGTCACAGGGCCAGACCGGGTCTGCCTAAGAGACGCAGGGCCAGTGTCCCGGGAAATCCACGTCCAGGGCCTTTGAATTCTGCCTCTGTTCTGGGCTTAGCCATGGAGAACAGGTATAAGACCACGTCTCATTACACTTTCTGGCATAACTTTCTCGAACGGCTTTATTTACAGCAGACAAACCTGTGCTAAGAGCTCCGAAAAGGTTCACTATTCAGTCTTGGTTAGGGATTTATTTCTGGTGAAGGAGTCATTTTCTTCCCTGTGTGCCTGAAGGATGTGACAAAATTCCACGGAGCAGGGCCGCAGGAATTCCAACTACTTGGAAGCAAGGGGAAGATGAGGCGGCCCTGGAGCAGGCAACGTGAGCAAACGTCCCCCCGAAATGCTCCAAGGGCTGCACCTGCCTCGATCCTCCACCTTGCTTTTTTTTTTTTTTCAGTGCTGAGGACCATGCTCCGGGCCTTGGCCACGCTGCTTCTAACACTCAGGGGTCAGAGATGTGACTTCAGGAAGTGGACGACAGGATCCTGTTTGCCCTCCTCATCTGACTTTCTCCCCTCCAAACCTACCCGCTTCTCCTTTTCCTGTTTCCAGGAACTCTCCAAACCCAGGAACACAGAGCAACTCCAGGACAGGATTCCACCAAACTCTCCTCTCTGGGTCTTGGTTTCCACATCTGTAAAATAAAGGGTCAGGCAAAATGAATGCCACATCGGCACCCTTGCGACAGTGAGGTTCTGTGGCCCAGACCCCAAGGCATCACACGCGTTTGTACACAGCCTCCAGGATACTCACTTCATGACAGAACAGAGAAACTACCCTGAAGTCCGCCCTCTGTCACCTCAGCACAGTCTTTGGTCCTCTTTCTCGAGGGACCTCAGACCTCCCTCCCCGACCTCCTTTCACAAGTTTACCACGTCCTTGGGCTAAGCGACTGGACAGAACACCAGGAAACCCCCTTTCCCACTATCCTGGCTGGGATTTCGGGCTCCAGACCCCAGCCGACCAGCACAGTCCCCTTCCCTTTGGAGGTCCTGGCCACCGGGGGATCCTGGCACCTCTCGCCCAGCACCTCCCGCCTCCTCCACCCCGCCTTTCTCCATGCCAGCACGCAAAGTGGCCAGTGATGGATGGGCCTGGGCTCCCGGTAACCGCACCCAGTGGCCCAATCCGCCTCCCTTCCCCAATCCCTCCCCTGTCCCTATTCAGAGCTCAGATTGTCTCATGTTGGTCCCTGAGGTCCCATTAATTAAAAATACATCCAATTAAATGGCAGGTGAAAACGTGCTGCCGGAGCTCCACCCCCCGCCCGGCTTGGTCTCTCCACTCCCCACCCCCGCAAGGCTCAGCTGTGCTTTGGCTGAGAAAGGAGAGGGGGAGAGAAGCGAGCAGAGGAAGACGTAGGGGTAGGAGGGCGGCAGGGGGGCTACTTGAACCTCTGCCAGGGTAGCATGTGCCAGCCTGGGAGGGTGGCGCTGTGCCCTGGTGTCTAATTTCTGGAGGTGTGAGGAGTTCAGTCAGCTGGGTACCCACCTCCATTTCCCTTAAAGGGGCAGAGGGCAGCCAGGGCGTGGCCAACTGTGCTGCGCACTTCTGCGTTGGGTGGCACTATGTAAACGGCAGCAGGGCCTTCCGGGGCGTTCCGAGGTTGGGGACATCTCAGACCTCTGTCCTTGCCACACATTTGCTCTCCCCCAAACTGAGGGGAGGACAATGAGGAGCCGGAGGGGACCCAGGTGGCAGGGCACGGCAACGCGCCGGAGCCTGGCTGGGGCTGCTCTGCCTACGGGACACTGAGAGACAGATGCAGGGAGTGCAAAAGGAAAGAGCCGTGACTTGGGGGAGGGCAGACAGGTCAGGCGGGGTGGGGTGTTACAGAAGTGGGTATTCACGTGGGCACCGTGCGGGAGGCCTTGGAGGACCTCGTCCTGCTTGCCCTTGTGCTCTGCGGAAGCAGGCGTGGTGTGCAGTCACCTCGGCCCAGCTGTCTGGCAGGCTGTGGGCAGGGCACCTCCTCTGATGAGTGGCGACCTCGCTCCGCCTCCAGCCTCACAGGCAGGGCGCCTGCCCAGCCCCCGCAGAGCCCTCTGTCCCAAGCACAGCGATGTGAGGCTAACGGGCCCTGGGCACTGCTGGAGAGCAGCTAGCGAGGAAAGGACGAAGGGCGGCCCTCGGAATCCAGGCGAGAGTGGGGGTGCTGACCCAGGGCCCCCGCCTGGCCTCCTTGGCAGCCTCCGCACCTCCTCACTTCACTTTACCGCTAATTGGAGATTTTAATCTGCACTGCTGCTCTGCTCGGGGTGTGGGGGGGCGCCAGCTGTGCAGTCATTCCAGCAGCACCGACTGTTTAATCAAGCTGTCCTCCTGGGGAGGGGCCTCGGGCATGGGGGAGGGGGGCTCCGGGTCTCCCTGAGTCTGTGCAGTCTGGAAGGGCTTCGCAGGGACGAGGGTTGGTGGCGGGTCCTCACTCCCGCGGGCGCTCCATGGCATCACTAGCAGAGCCACAACCCCGAACTCGTGGCCAATGTGCACTCCACATATACTCTTCTGGCTCCAAGCCCCGGTCTTGCTATGTGGTTCAGGCTAGCGTTGAACTCTGACCCTTAAAAACCCAGTGATCCTCCTGCTTCAGCCTCCCAAGTACTGGGATTATAGGTATGCAAAACACGGCTGGCCTCAAAGACACTTTTCTCAGAACACTTGTAAGAGATGGCCCCTGCCCTGGAAAACCACACACACCCCTTACCCTCGGGTCAGAAAGCAACCGTTATGAAGGCAAGGGGACAGTGGGGGGACAGCTGGAGCTTTCTACGCCCTAAGGGAGAGAACCCAAGTGCAAAGTGTTCCGGGACTGGAGCCAGGGCTTTCCAAGCTCAGGTGGGAGTGCGCTAAGGCCTCAGGCCACAAGAGCAGAGTGTGTGTGTGTGTGTGTGTGTGTGTGTGTCTGGTCATCTCACAGGCAGAACAAGCGGTGCCAGTTATTCTGCTGGCTTCCCAGCCCTTCTCTGGGCTCTCTGGGGGGCCTTCCGAACCCTGTCTGGGGAAAGGGCGCCCTCACCCAGTCTTCAAGGGGTGGGTTTTAATTGGTCAGCAGTGCCCTCGTGTGGCAGGAACCAGGACTGCAGCTGCCCAGCGGATGGGACTGGTGGGAGCCAACAGACTCCCGGGTTGACAGACAGGCAGTAGAGTCATCAGTGCGTCCAGGTGTCCCCCACACATACTGCTCGACTACTTATAGGGACACTGCTGCTTCCTAACATCTGCGTGATCCTCCCTACCCACCATGGCCCACCTGCTCCACTTCTAACGAAGCAGCTGCCTAGCGGAGAGGCGGTGCCTTCCTAGAGCGCTTCTGCCAGGCCAGCTGCTTGGCCGGAGCTGAGAGAGGCACTGGCGAGGTCACAAGGGTGGGGGACTTCCCCATACGCTGCTCTGACCCCCGACAACTCGCCCAAGGCCACAGAGGGCAACAACACCTGCACTGAAGGGGAGCACCCAGGGCTGACTCCACACTCAGCCCTCTCCCTGGGGATCCAAACTGAGCAGGGACAGACAGACGCTCAGAGCCCAAGACCCAGGTCCTGGAGAAGGGGCACCAGATAAAACTCCTCTCCTGCCAAAGAATCTGGTATTCTCCAAGGGTGCACATCTGGGGCTTCGGACCTCTAGCCTCCGCGACAAGGCCATCTGTCACCACACCCTTCCTCTCCAGTGTGAATGCTATCTGTAAATGGCTGTGTGCCAGGGGAAAGGACAGACCTTGGACACTGAAGATCAGGACTCGGGAGTGACACGGGGAAGAGCTGAGTCACCAGGCTTCCTCTGCGGTGTTGCTGGGACTCAAACCCAGGGACTTGCACTCGCTAGACAAGCGCTCGGCCGCAGCCACATCCCACCCCAAGGCTTTCCTCCTAGGAGAAGGCGGTGACAGAAATGGTCCCAGAGAGGTCAGGCAGGGTGCGCACACCTGTACTTCCAACAGCCTGGGAGGCTGAAGGAGGAGCATTGTTTGAACCTATGTGCGCAGACTTGATCTCAGAGAAGAAACACAGGCAGGGGTGGGGTGGGGAGCAGCACACCTACCAGCAGGCAAGGAGGCGGAGGCGGTGGCCAGGTCACACCCCCACCCAGTGCTGGGCAGCAGGCTGCAGGCCCCCACTTCTGGTGTCTCACACGGTGTCTGGATGGTAGAATTGTTCACTGAACCTGGAAAAGAGGTGGAGCGGCTGGTGAGCAGCAGTGAGACCTACTGCCCTAACTCACCCAAAGAAAGGGACACAAAATAGCTTCTGAGAAAGAAGGATTTGGTGTAGGAGAGCGGGTGGTGGGTGAAGGGGGCCGCCTTCCTAGAGGAGAGCGGAAAGTAATATGCTAGCACCCCCCCCCCACGGAGGACACCCCAAACCCAGCTGGCCTTCTGGAAAGAGCAGGAGTAAAATAATGATCTGTGCGAAGGGAGGGGTCACCCACTCACCCACTCTAGTTGGAAGGGGGAACTTATTGACTAGAAGGTAGAAAACCAGAATGGGGTATTAAAAAAAAAAAGGCTGAGGAGACTTTCTGGAGAGCTTTGAGGATGAGGAATTTCCTTGGACCTGGGCACATGCCTGTAATTCCAGCACCGGGGAGGCTAAGGCAGGAGGATTGCTGGGAAATTGAGGCCAGCTTGGGCACAGAGTGAGTTCAAGGCCAGCCTGAACTACACAGTGAGACTCTGTCTCAAAAAACCAAAACAAGGGCCAGGGATTTAGCTCAGTGGTTCTGGTGACTGCCTCGCAAGCTCAAGGACCTGAGTTCGATCCCCAGTATCCAAAAAAAAAAAAAAGAAAACAAAACAAACAGAAATTTCCTTGAGACCAGGAGTAAGTGTGTACACTGGGGGGTGGGGATGGAAGGCCCCATACAAAAGTAGGCCAGTGGCCTCTGATCGGACTTAGGTCCCTACCTGGCTTAAGTTCTGAGGCAGAGACTGAATTTGCCAGGCTCTGAATGCAAAGTGACTGAGGGACATCACCAAACTCCTCAGGGGCCATCCCTGCTGCTGCCGCCACCTGCAATGGAAAATAACAGGCTATGTTAGACAGGAGACAAGGGACGAGGCACCAGTGAGAGTCTCTGGCCTTTCACCTGGGAGCCTGGTGCTGGCGGGTGACGACAATGGCAATGCATTTCATGTCTCCGACTTCCTCGAACCTGAATCCCTCAGGTTACAGGTGAACCTTAAGTATGCTGCCAAAGAGAGTTCTAAACTCTTGTCTCCAAGGACAGCTCCTGGGCTGTCAAACACGAGACCATGGCCCTGCACTTAGAATAAGTTAGACAGTTCAATAGAAACAGAAGTAGTGAAACCCGGAATTATAAAGGGCAGCGAAGGGTAATGGTTCATACAAAGTCAATGCGAGCCGTTACATAGAGAACATCTAATTTTAGATCAGATCACCAGCTTGGATTCGAGGTTCACTTGTCCATCAGAGCTTCAGAAACTCTCTGTAGAAGAGGCTTGTACAACAGGCCCTGACTATGAAATACAATGTTTTGCGAGACATCGGACCCCAGGAGAGCCGGGCACAGATGAATTGCATGAGGACCACCCCAGTCAGCCAGGCTGTCCATTGGGTTGTGACTGCCAAAATGCAAAGGACGTGTTTGTCATTCGCCCCACTGAGCCAGACCCTCGCCACGTCCAAGAACGCGATGGTACCCTTCTCCCCGCAGCGTCTCCCTCTCTGCTCATCAGTGACTCTGTTTCATAAGCTCTCACAAAGCACAAACTGGAAGGGATGGTGGCTACATCTCCAAGGAGCGCCAGTGAGTCCTGGCATTGGAGTGACCAGCGAGTTCGCCAAGTGAGCACACTGTCCCCGGGTCAGGCCACCACCAAGCACTGCCACCTCCTGCCCGTGAGAGGAGGACATCAACAACTCAAAACTGGAAAAAGATTAGGAGAGCCCCCTAACTGTCCTGTGAGCTGAGAACATTTGATTTTGCTTTGAATCCTATAATCCTGTCTCTCATTCAGAGACACCCACACCCACACTAGCCTTCAGGCAGATGAGCTGTTTCCTTTCTCCCTTCCTGTTTTCTGGTTTTGTTTTTCACCCTAGGTGTATTGTACCGCACAGGAGCGGAGTAGAGATTTAGACTACATTCCTCGTATCGCCTTTAAGGTTTTGTCCCGCCATATGCCCTCCAAAAGAGGGTGGTTGTGTGCCCTTTGAAATGGGGAGTAACTCTGATGGCATCGGGATCTTTGGCTGCGGGTGCCACGTGCTTCCCAAGGAAGCAGAGCTCTTTTATATAAGTAAAAGTTACTTGTACATTTGCATGCCGCTGAGAAATTCTTCTTTAAAAATACATAAAATAACTACTTTTCTATGAACGGCTTTTAAATCTACCTCTCCCCCCACCTCAATGTCTGTCCCTTCCCTATTTCTTAGGAAACCCAGGACTCTCAGGAAGGGTTTGATCTTAAAATCAGGCTCTGTACCGAGGGAGGGTGAGATTCTGTCCTCCTGAGTCTAGTCCCAGCTGGCTGCGTTGTCACAGAGAGAGAGGCAGGTGATGCACTACCCCTCCTCAAGCCTCAGTTTCCCGCTGTGTACACGGAGAGGCTGGATGACATGACCGTTCTCCTAGCTCTGACAACCTATGCAAGAGCCCTTCGCTCTTCTTTGGGCGGCCACCGTAGACAGAGGCTCCCTAGATGTCTCAGCAGCAGGCCTTTCGTTACATTTCGAGGCCCTCCCACGAAGAGGATAGAGAGGGGATCCATCCCTAGCCCTGAATCTTACTAAACTGGAGTGAGATAAACCGCACTGCACACTTGTGGCACTGCCCTAGGAAGCCCCACAGAAGTAGTGGCTGCTAGTCCAACACAACTGTGTAGATGGGAAGAGGAAAGCAGGGTGTGTGAATACATCCACAGCATCGACATGAAAGTCCAGTCAATGCCCACACACCCGTTTTCTCCTGCTTGAGGCCTCTATACGCTTGTAAAAGAAGCTGTGGTAGGAGGGGATGCAACATCCCACTCTTCCTCCTCCCCAAAGTCAGAATGGAAGAGACAGTGAGACAGGAGCTACTTGGCTTCCTATAAATTGTTTTGTCCTTCCTCACAGCTGCAATCAGAAGCTAAGGGCTCCCGCAGGCCTTGTTCTGATCTGCTGCAGGCGATGGAGGGTTTTTGAAATGGAGAAGACTTGGCTGCGGCCCCGTTTTTAGCTGCCGTTGGGGCTGGCTAATGGGCTCATTCGGGAAGACCCCCGCCTGCCACACTAAAGAGTCCCCTGCCGGCCCCCTCCCCAGTCCCAACCCAATTAATAAATGGGGGCTCCCACTTTATGGCTGTAGGAGCAGGAACCAGAGATACAAATGACCCCCAGGGAAGGAAAGAAAAGGCCTTCCAAGAATCAAGCCGGAGAATAGCGCATCCACAGGCACACGCTGCCACAGGCTAGTCATATCCCATTTCCCAAGCACGAAAGGGGAAAAAGCTGGCAAAGCCTGGTCTTTTCTTTCCCAGATCCAGAGTGGGCTAGCATTCTCGAAGTTGTGGGCACACCCCACAACTGACTCTCGCCTGGCTCTCCACCCTGCACGGGGCCATCTGGACGCGCACTTGCTCCCCGGCCCTCCAGGGGCAGGGCCCCCTCCTAGACTCCACAGCACTGCACGCAGCACCCCCCATCACTTGGTCAATGAGCACCTCCTCTGTAAAGACAAAGCAGCAAGCAGCTACCTCTCACCAAGCTTTCACTACCACCGTTAGCACAAACGTGTCCTGAGGTCACCGTCTGGAGGGCAGCTTTTTTGTTTGCCCTCATATCCACGCTGTGAGCCACGTCCTGTGGACCCCGTTCCTTCCTCCCGACTCCCCTTGCCCTGCTCCAGGTGGGCCCTGGTGCTGCCTCACGCCCGGGCGAGAACAATACCGTCCCAGACAACTTCTCTGCTTCCTGGACTCAGTACAGTGGCAGAAGTCCTCACCCTCTCTCAACTCCTCACGCTCAGCTCCCTGTACTGCTCACCGAGCCAAATTCCAGTTCCTCACTGAGGCCACCAGGAATGCTCTCCCAAGCCTCCTCTCCTGTGCCATCCTAGTCCATTAATCTGCAGCCCTGTGCACAAAACACCCAAGTCCTTTTCCCCATTAGTCTCCTCCTGCTGTTGCCCCTCCTCCGTTCTGTTCCTCTCATCTTTACCTTTAAATAATAGTTTTTTTATGAACTCCTTGTTTTCTGATTATTTCTTTGTCCTGGCCTCCTTTTGTTAGGGTACTATTTTGTAACCTGCTATAACGCACTGACTTATAAATACCAATGTCCCATTTCCCATCAAAGTATGAAACTCGCCTCTCTAGTTAGACCCACTTCCTAAAGGAGGAATCCTCCCTTAATGCCTTCCCAGCCGGACCTGACTCTGCTAGTGATATTCCCACTCCCTCATGGAACAAATCTTGGGATACTGTATCAAACAGGCAGGGGGAACACAATGTTATTCTGTCAACTTTCAGACTGCCACCTGCCCCAAACTTGACACTGTCTTTCCAAAATCATAAATCCAGTTTCATGATTTCCAAAGTGTTGCAAAACATTAAAAAAAAAAAATCAAAAACAAAACAGAACCCCCAAACAAGCACAGCAACCAAAGGAACTTATCTCTGATTCATAGAACATAAAAACTGTACTTTGAAGATACCTTAGGATAGAAAGCCTCATTTTGTCCCCTATTTCTAAGATTAATCCTATGTTCTTTTTTTTTTTTTTTTTTTG